CCCCAAAACCCCAAAACCCCAAAACCCCAAAACCCCACACATCTGACTAAATATTGAAAAGTTTAATTATATTAATAAATGGAGAGTTTAATCCTCCCGGGGACACAGATGATGCTCAAGCTCAAGAGTAAAGTTAACTCCGAGATTTAAGAAATATTCTTATACTCATGTTTCCAGTATCTCCTTTTATAATTGTGCTGGCTAAATAACCTGAATCCTTTCTTGAAAAATCTTTGACTTACATTTAATCTGAAGGCTGATGTTTGTAACTTCATAAGGAATGTTTTAACCATGGATAATGTGTCGCAAGACTCAAAACAATGCTAGATCTAGCAATATAATCACACTTGTTTATTCCATATCATTAAAACGCGATCAGAAAGTTTTAAGATAAGCATCCTGAACATCTGCTTGAATATTTTGTGCATATCATCAATATACAAAAGGAGCGGAACAAAATATTGGAATGTTTCAGATTATATATCAGCTGTATAAATTGCACAAGCAAGGGAAAATCTGTTTTCTTCTGTTTAGCAAATCCTTGATCTAAAACTTCTAATTCTAATAAATTCTGATCTCGTCAGCTATAATTTGATTTTTTGAAATTTAACCTAACCATTTGATCGTATAGAAGGGAGAAATTAATTCTAGCAGAAGAAAATAAAACCGACACAACCTTCAGAGACAATTATTATTTCAATTGCTTTTCAAGGGCAATGGTCTCCGAAGATTCTGATAGTGAGGATTCTGACAAATACGAATATGTTGTAGAATATCATCCATTTCTTTTTATGGATTTTGAAGAGCAAATAGACCGAAACTATTTTATAAAAATTAACTTTATCAGCCCTTTTAATGTGGAGACTCTAGAGTTACAAAATATAAAAATTAGAATAGAACTATGATAAATTTTCATAATTCCCTATTCCCTTCAGAGCTGAACAATTTATGTATTAAAAGTGAGACAGGTTGTTTGCCGATTATTCCTCATTCTTTCAATGAAATTATGAGAGTGAGTTCAAGAGTATTAGAGAAAGTGTGGATTTCCTCTTTCAAAATCAGTGCTCGCCAGTTTAAGAGACTAATGGTTTCATATAAACATGTCAAATGAATTCTGCTAAAAGAGTCCAAAATATCAGTACCTGAAGTCTTTGATTTTTCTCAATTGTTGAATAATACACTGATTCAGGAGCTTGATTTTTCTTGATCAGGAGACCTTGAATATTCTGATTGGAAGAATAATCCTCAAGAATTTGTCAATCTAATCCAAGGTTTAGCTACTTCTCTAGATTTGAAGCTCACTCTCAGAACAATAAGAGCAATCAGTTGTGGAATAGAAAAGAAGGGAATAAGAGAGATCCTGAATCAAAATAAATTTTGTAATGTTGAACTGAGCGAGCTAACTTATGTATAATTCATTGTTATTCATCATTTTCTGTTTAAATTTTTTAATTATTAGTCTTCTCTAAAATCCATTTAGAAAATTTAATTATTTAATCAATAATCTATAAAATCCTAGGGGTTTTGGGGTTTTGGGGTTTTGGGG